AACCATTTGAACTGCTCCATCCCTCAAGTTTTTTGAATTTGAACGATCTCAGCAAGTTAAGGCTTAACCACAACCGAATATTCCGATCCATCCCGTTTAATCGAGAAATGATTTGGAGAATGAGAAGGAAACTGAGGCAAATTCATATTATAAGTGTTATCCACTTTCTGGGCTACAGTTATGGGTTTTTAAGATGAGCCTAACTGATCTGACAATTAAAGTGGATCGTATCAGCCCATTTTGTTGAAACGGGCTTGACGGCCCAGATTTCTATAAACAACCCCCTCATTTACGATTTACGTTTGAAGCGTGCATTTGAGAGAGTTGATTAGGGAAGTTTCATGACCAAAACTTCAAAGAAAAACCAGAAGAACAGCTCAAGCAGCAGCAGTGCTGATAAGAATAATGGGGTTGAGAAGACGAAGAGGACGCGAAAAAGCATCCCGAGAACAACGCAGTTCGATTTATCGTGGTGTTACGATGTAACAATGTTTCCATGAAAATATAGTCTTCTTGATTCTTTGATCATTTTCTCCATCTTGTGATCCCATTGCGGCTTTGAAATATTATTTAGATTTAGGGTTCGATCTTAAAATGTTGACATTGTTAGGAAACTTGAGCGCTTGGACACCATCATAATGAAGAATATATATTCAAACCATGGTATGTATGCATATATATTCGAGAATTTGCATAATATTTTTTATTCTTTTCATGATTGTCACCATTTTATTGTTCCCTTCCCCTTTCTTAGTACATACAGTCGACCTTGGACTCATTGTAATGAAGAATAGCTAAAATATTAGAGAATATCCCTAACAAATAAAAGAGCCACTTCCCTTATTACTGTTCACACTTTCGTCCGCCTAAAACGACGTCGTTTTGGGCAAGAAATAAAAAAGATGTTTGTTCACGCAATGTTACTCTTACCATTTTCCTCTCGCCATTTCTCTCTCTCTCTCTCTCTCTCTCTCGCACAGTTTCCCTTCTCATTCACTCGACGAAAACCCTAAGCATCTTCGTGTTGATGGATTTCCAACAACAAAATCACATCACAGCTTGAAATCGGTTTATCCTTCTTTCGCTCGTGGGCTGCACTTCACCGTTTCTCGCTGCTGCCGTACTGCCTTCGTTCCGCCGCAGTTTGCGCTCGTTCGAACGTGTGAGCCACCGACAAAATTGTAAGAAGAAGAGCCTCCACTGCTAGGTCGAGACTCATGTATGTTTCTTCCGTTTTTTGAACCCTAATTTTACTTCTTCTCTCTCGAT